GTGCACAGAGGAAAGATCTGGTGGTGAGGGACCTTTAGTGATTTTTTCTCCCTTCGCCATTGCTTTGGCTAATTTCTCAAATTCTTGGATGTATGCTGATAACGTGTGAGGACCATAGAGAGTGGAAGCAGCCTGCAGATTCCATTATGCATTGAGAATTAATGTAGGATTACAATCACTGCAAAGTTAAGTTATTGTTTCCCCTGGATCCATTTGGAGAAATTCATTAAACAGATGAGTATGTACCTCATATCGCTGTTGCGTGTATTCCTCAAAAGTTGCAATATATTGGGAATAAGTATTTGTGAGGCCTGCTATTACAATGTGGGTTTCGTCATCAAATTCACCATTGCTGTTACTTATCAATGTCTCCTTGACTGCTTCCCTTAGCCGCCGGCCCGCCATTGTGGTGAATTCTGCAAGGTTCAGTAGCTTAGAGAGCTTGTTGACATGTGTCACGTGCGAGGGGTTTTAGGTTCTAGGTTCTAGGTTTTAGATTGATTTGTGGAGTGAATTGTAAGGGAATGTCAGTATTGTTGGGACGAGGCTGCCTAAGTCTGTTGGACTGAGTGTGCTGTCCTGCCCTATCAAGACAAGTTCATAGAAACTAGATGCTGAGCTCGGTAAATGGGGTGGGGTTGAGGTTTCCTTGAATGTATAGTTATTTGGAGAAAAATGGGCTTGCTATCTTGGTTAATGTGGCTCTTTTGCCGAGCCGAGACACAAAGAATTACTAGTTATGGGAAGCAGTGGTTGCATTGAGCAATGAATAGCGCACATGCCATTAAGACAGACAGGTGTGAAGTTGTAGTGGGTTGTGAAATTAATTAAAGTGAAAGAGTACTAACCTCCTGGGACAGAAAGTATGATCAGCTTCCCCAACCTGAGCATTTGAATAGGAAGGACTGCAGGCTGCATGCATTTGAACCATAATTAGAGAATGTTAGTCAGACTGCCTGCTATGCTAATGCTACAATATTAATATTAATCCCTAGTTTCTAAGTAAGTAGCTGTAATTCTAAATAAATGAATATTATGTCTGAAAAGAAAATCCAATTGGTTTTCCCCCAACAACGCAAGTAACAGGCAAAAGTCCTGTCTTACCGCCCATGCATAAGGTACAAACATTTCGCCAGTGTCGAGCAGAACTGTCTTGGGCTTTTGGCAGTCGACTTGATATGGGGTAGGTTTTTTTAGAGAATCCCTCAGTTTTCTCCACATCTCATTGATCTGAAAAACAGAGGATTGGTTAAGATGTAGCAATACAAGACAAGACCAAAAAGTAAAGTGGTTTTGGCCAAAAGTGATGTTGCTGCTGCTGCTGCTGACCTTTGTATCGCCTTGCTGGAAGCCGAAGGCACCGGGTCCATCTGTAGTCCCGGCGGCAAAACCAGGACCGAGCGCAGCGGGGCATGTTTTAACTTTCTTGTTTCCATCTAATAATTCAACCTCAATATCGGTGAAGTTGAGGTACACGTGGCGATAGTCAATAGTCCCGGTGAGTTGCTGTGTAGCCGTCGTGAATAGATGAGCGGCCTTTTGAAATTGTCTCTCCCCTATAATTTTGGTGCTGAGTATTTCATCTGGGTAGCCAGGTCCACGGCCCAGGCAAAGCAGGTCGTTCCCATGACAGGAGGAGTGATTGAAGTCGCAGGGTCTTCCAGAATCGGTGCAAAAAGCTCCAAGCACGTTTGGGGTCACATCCCCAACATTTGATTGGCAAAAAGCTCCCACGAACAGCGACCCGTTGTTCTTCCTCACCTTAGACTTTCGGCTGCTTGTTTTACCGCAGAGCTTTCCTCCCGTGGCTTTCATGCTTTGTGCCTTCTTTACTAGTGATAATAGTAACGCGCTACTATCTGCATTAATTAATGGATACACTCATGAGTCATATATACAGCTAATATAATTACAAGGCTACTAATTTACTAACAATAATAATACATAGTAATTACCAGCTGGTGTGGTAGAGGAGGAGTTGTAGCTTGTAGTAGACGAAGAGGAAGAGGAGAACCTGTCCTCGAAGAATCGAGCAGCAGCACCTTTGTTGTCTCCACTGATGAGGAGGTTGTTTTTGCTCATGGAGGTTCCGTGGGTGGCAAACCAGCTGAAGGCTCCAACGCTGTTCCCGCTTGCATCATCCACAAACTTCAACAGAGTCATGAGGGTGTCCACGTTGCTTGGATACCTGGCTCTCTCCTCCGCCGGGTTTAGCAGATAAGCACTTGGGCTCCTGTTTATTCCCGCGTTTACCACATCCCCTGTAAACCCATAAAACTCAAGTCAATTCAGAAAAAGAAGAGTAAAAACTTGACTTGGTGTGGGGGTGGGGGAGTCAGTGGTCACCTTTGTTGATGAAAACAGAACCAGGCTTGAGGTTGTGATGAGCCTGAACAATGCTCTGCTCAATTGCGTTCACAATGGCATCGAAGGATTGTTGGACAAACCCCAAAGATGTTATAGAGTAAACCAGATACTGCAGATAACCCCCTGGTCCAGCGTGAGTGTGAATCCCACTAATCGCCACATTTTCTTCCGTATACAAATCTCCAAACCTTCCAAATCAAATTTTTATAAATAAATAGGAAAATTAATTAATATCAACATACGTGACTAATAAGTAGCTGAAAGTATACTATAGTATATACACCTTGATTTGAGTTTGTCCAGCACTTTAATGTTAACGAGTTGTGAAGCCATCCCAGCGTCAAGATTAACAAAGGCAAACCTCGGACCTTGGGAACTCTCCGCGACGATGAAGGTCCTTGCCCTGAGTCGGAAATGTACACCGGCAGTCGACTGGTCCATGTTGGCATAACCCATCATGTTCACCCCTGCTGCTGGCCCAGTCATGTCATAGCTTCCCACTCCAATCAAATACCCTTCGCCATTGCATCTCCTAATTACACCTATACCCACAATAATCATAATAATAAGTGATGACAACACAGACGAGTGCTGCTCTTGAATTTTGCTTCTCGTCTTCATGTTTGATCTCAAATTAAACTGATGACCGTAGAGCTGTATATATATCTTATATATGTGAAGCTTGGTCGATACAGTTTAGAATTTATATATTTATTTTTGTTGGGCGCTGAATTCTCTTCTCTTAGTATGTAGTGATCACTTCCATGGCTGGCTTGTTTCAATCAACCCAAACAAAAGTGGGTGGTAGTTTATAGTTTTGGGTGTCCAAGTTGGCACAAGAGTATCTCTTCTTGGTTTCTTGGTTGCTCCGCCGCATGCAAGAGAGATGAGATGGACAAGGTTTGGTCTTGTCCGTTTCTGTGAGCTTTGGGTGCCTTTAGCCGCATGCAAGCAATATATATGATATCTGATTGGTTGCGTGGAAATTTTTATTAACACCCTATTGATATTGCATGCTTCTGCACTAACTTATGTGGTGAATCTCTAAGCCACAAGAAAAGTGAGTCGACCATGCCATGTATAATGGATATTTGAATCTGTCCCCACAGCCACCCACCCAAATGAGTGTGCATCAACAAATGATGCTTACCATAACTTTCCCTTGGTAGGCAATCATATGTGTCCGTCATTTTATATTCTTTAAAAAATAAAAAATAAAAGGATAAATTTCATTCGTTGTCATTAGTTGTGAAGTCTAAGCATTCGAAAAAAATTATTAAATTTAGGCATTTTAAGATATGATAATGTTTGTAAATGGGGTCTAGTCATGGACAGAACTAGGAGTTTTCGATGGGTGAGTTAGCTAAATTTTAGTTTAAACTCTAATTATCTTTTTTTTTTTCATTGACTAATTTTCAATAAATTTTATTAGACAAATCAATATTAAATGTAACCAAAAAATACGCATTATCAAAATTAATGTGTTCAATAATATAATTGAAAGTGTACCTATTCAAGTTTCTTGCCTCTTGACATCAACCAAATAAGACAAATGCAAAGTGAAAAGATATAAATAATTAAATTTCACATATATATTAGTTGTGAACACAAGAAGAATATAATTAAGTTACTCTTACGTTTTTTAAAATATCTTCTCACTTGTGAGTTTTAATTACCTATTGTCGTCTGTAGAGGGTTTTTATTTATTTTTATTTTTTTGGTAAAAAGAGGGTTTTTATTGAGTACAATATTAAGAAGCTTTCCCTTTTTTTCGGGGTGAAAAAACGATTATTGACTTTGCCAACAAAAAAAAAGCAAAAGGTTGCATGCTTCGAGGGGAAAAGAACAAAAGCAAGACAGAGCAATTGTATGATCCGGTCAATTTGATTGGAGGATTGGATGAAAGCAAAAGGCAGCAAACTTGGTGGGCCATATAAATATAGGTAATATTTTTTTCTTCAAAGCATTCCTAGGCTATAGCCCACTATGGTCGTGGCTATAGTTCGCCATTGGATCTAGTCTAATGGAAAAATACATTGATTTACAGACGAGTGGTCTTAGATTCGAACACACATATTACATTGGTAGTGTGTGAAATTTCCTTCGTTTTGTAGTTTAGACTATCACGGTTCATCTCTAATAGTATTATTGTATTATTGTAGTAGTAATGTTCCATCATCAAAAAGCTTGTTTCGGTCACTACTCCTTTAGTTCAGTGCCTATGATTGCGGGCTTCATCCTTCATGGAGGCGCTTCTTTTCTTTTTTTGGGTGTAAATTTTTTCCCTATAAAACTTTCAGGTCTTGTAGAGACTTGCAAACTATAATATAAATTAATTGATTTCATAGACATACTTGGACACAAATGCATCAAGTGATCATCCCACGTAACGTATCCCAAGTTTCTAAAGGTTGCAAGGACAAATAAGGCTCGAATCGAACGGATCATTTTCCCAACGGTCATCATCTTGATATTTTGGTCAAATTGAATATAGTAATAAAAAGCAAAGCGTATTATGACTGTGCAGCCCTACCACAACACCACAAAGCTAAAAGAGTAAATCAATGAATCTTTCCATATTTTGCGGGATCATTCATCTATGCTTTTAAAAGTAAATAAATAAGAAAATAAAATAAAAACAAAAGAGGTTGTCACTCTCTCCGCTGTATACTCTCTACGGTGTTTAATAAAAGCACCACTTCTTGCGGCTCCATGACTCATGTTACTAATACATTATCTTTCTCATTATTAGGAAAATGTTGGTTCAGTGAAGTATGCATCTTCATGAGTTGCATCAATACATATTTCACTCTTAAATCGATCCACATTTGTATTCATTATATATATATATATATATATGAAGAAAATAGGTACAAAGGAAGAAGCAATTATTTATTAATGAACAATGTTTAAATATCACATAGAAATTAAAGAAGCAAATGGAAATGGTAGCTACAGTAGTGTGGACTTGGAAGTCCTAAACAAACATCAAAACAATAAGTAGATATCTCTCAAACTCAAAAGAAGAAAAGCAAATAAACCACTCATCAGAAAAAGCCACACACAATCACATAAACACAGGGTTTGTATAAGTGGTTTTTCTTAATTAATTTAATAGGAAGACGTTTCCTTTTCCTTCTCCTTGTCCTTGATGGCCTCCTTCTCTTCCTCCGTCTTAGGGTGGTAACCAGGAATCTTTTCCTTGATCTTCTCCAAGATACCCTTCTTCTCCTTGGGCTCGCCACCTACTACTGCGGGCTCAGCATGCTGATCATGACTCTGCTGATCATCATACGAAGCTGGAATCTCTTCCGTCTTCTTCTGCTGCCCTGGTAGCTTTTCCTTTATTTTCTCAAGGAAACCCTTCTTCTCTTCCTCTTTCTTTTCTTCATGAGTTGGCTCCTCGTAGATCTTCTCCACTGGGACGGCTGTGTCCTCCACCTTCTGATCATGATGACCAGAGATCTTATCCTTCAGTCCCTTCTTTTCTTTCTTCTTCTTCTTTTTCTCATCTCCTTCACCTCCCTCTTCATCGCTCGACTGCATATTCATTAGATAATATTTCAATCAGTTCAAACAACTTTAATTATATAATTAATTAGGTTACTATCTATCTATCTAGAAAAGGAAAACCTAAAGAACACTTGACAATTAATTAGTCGTTTTGAGATAGACGTTGCGTGGCATATGCAGAAGGAGATCATCTGCCAAATCATGAAATGCCACATGGAATGGAACATCTTGCAAACAAATACGCACACACATATATAATATTAGTTAATGATCGAGTAAAAAAACTTACAGAGCTAGAGCTGCTGTCGGATCGGTGAAGCTTCTCCAAAAGACTGCCGTGCTTCTTCTCCTTCTCCTCCTCTTGTTCTACTTTGTATGACTCTGGTTCATGATGATGAGGACGAGGTGCCTCGTGATCAGACACTTTGACCTTCTCAAACTCAGTGACGATCACCTCCTCCTGAGGCTTCTCCTCCTCTTTCTTCCCCAGGAAATCAAACAAGCCCCGATCCTTGATCTCACCACCTTCAGCTGCGCGCGCGCCTGATCCCTCCTCGTAATCACCAGCCTTCCCTTCATACTCACGATCATGGCTTTTGTTGTACTCCTCTGCCATACTTATCTGTATAGTTATGTATATATGTTTCTATTGATGATGATGAAATAAATAAGCAAGCAAGTGAATTATAAATAAGCTTTGATGTTCTTTGCTTATGGAGGAGGGTGTGAGCTTTTATAGTAGCACCCAAGTTCCAACCACGCGAATATGACGCGATTAAGTTAAAATGACTAATTATAATTAGCATTTAGATGAGCTGTTGGCTGTAGCTGCCCAAATCCTAATCCTCTATAACCATTTTTATTTTATTTTGATAAGTTACACCAAATCCTGTACCATTTTCCTTTTTCTTCGTCCAACCGACCGACCTGGTGCATTCAATCATAATCAATCTAAAAGCATTTGTACCCACACAATATTTCCCAATCGCTTTCCACTCGCTGTATCTTTCCGACACGTGTCTCTTCATTACATGTGCCAGTTGCCAGTAGCGAGTTGCGCTTGTTTCGTACGCAAAGCAATAACCTAAAACCAAACAGTCAAAAGGCCAAAGAAGAAAGTAGAAAAGATGCCATGCCAGTAGAGAGAGGACAAAGACACCGTGTACAGTCAGTGTGCTAGTGCTGAGACCATGGACCAATAAATGGCTGCAACGTGTCATATGAACGTGGGAGGGGTGTAATTGTGGGACCCTCTAATGTCGGCCTTGTTTGGATAAATGTGAGAAGGTCGGTGTGATGAAGTGGCCCACGTGGCAGCCAGTTTACGTTGGAAAGAGGAGAGGGAGGGGGCGGTGTCTTCGAGATTTGCGAGTTGTAGGTAGGTGCACGGTAAGCTTTCATGGTGGGCCATTTTTCATTTTCATCAGTTTCAACTACGATGGATGGATGGTTGTTATGTTGCCAGCAGCACATAGCAAATTAGCAAAGGGCATCGGCATACGTTTAGTTGGGTCCACTTTGGGTGGGGTACAGTATATTTATATTATAGTCTATTGGAAAGGGATGGGCCGGGCTAGGCTGGGAGTGCCTTGGTGTTGCCACTTGCCACAACTCTCGAAAAATCGCACAAGCGCCGTACCGTTTTCGTTTTGGTTTCAGCCCCTAGAATTCAATCAATCACTATATCAAGAAAATAATAATAATCATTAATAATTTTAAGAGTTTTTCTATTTAAATTTCATATTTTTTTTGGGTAATACCACGAGGAGTCCCAATATTCGATGGGTGAGATTAATTTCCGCTCGGGATTAGGCTTGTCTCTAGCCATAAAGCGTTTCTAATGGATTTCGAGCCTTTGCCATTAAGACACTAGGTAGCTTGTCAGCTGAATGTGACAGTTTGCCAACCACACCACACCTTGTGGTTAAACCTCACACTTTTTTATTTACTAGCCTCTTCGCATGCGCTTCCGCGCTTGCGAGAGGCTTTTTTAAAAAAATTAAAATTTATTTTAGAATTAAAAAATATAATGGGTAGTTGTGTTTCATAAAAATAGGCCATTATCTGATTTTTTTTTAATGATTTTTTTAAATATGAAAAAGTGTGAATTTACCATATCATCCTAATTTAATTAATAATTTCAATTTTTAATATTTGCATTAACCAATGGCATTTTCTGGTATTTTGAATGTTTCACCATTCTCTGCCTTTTGCTTTATATATATAGATTTACCCTAATACTTAAATCATTAAACTTTTAAGTTTTATTATTGTGTAAAAAGACAAAAAAGGTCATCCAACTTAATACTTAATCCTAATACATCTATACACACGTGACATACCCCACACACTCTTCATATTAAATTTTAGAAAAACACAAGCTCCTCTACGCCCTCTTACCAAATTAAAGAAACCTACTATACGCTCATAAAAAAGGATTTGTATATAATTACACTTATATGTTTACGTTCCAAACCAAACCCAACTTAATTACGTTTTAGATAATTTGCTTGCATGTTAAACGTTTTGGAATAGTGAATAAAATGAATAGCATTTGATACTCTTATTCTGAGATGGGATCCGATTTGTTTTCAACTTCATATACCGAGCACCAAACTAATAATAATAATTCAGAACTCAACCATGACAAATTATTTATCATAAAGTAAGAGGTACTGCATAAACTCAACGAAAGGAGTGGAGTTTTCTTAGAAATTATGAAAATTTGAATTAAAAATTGGGGTGAACTTAAAATATGAGATAAACAAAAAGAAGTGGAAAGTTTTAATAGAAGAACTCTAATTTTAATCAGCTTTTGGACAGGTTGCAACTGACAGGTCATTGTCCTTGCGCACAAATAGTGACTCAGATTTTTAAAATACTGGAATAATAATGGTGTAGCCCAATGGTAATGGCTGGGGATGTTATCAGTCAGAATAATGGTAGCTCAATGTCATTGTCCTTTGATCACAAATAGTGCCTCAGATTTTTAAAATACTGGAACAATAATGGTGCACTATAGCCCAATGGTAATGGCTGGGGATGTTAGTCAGTCAGAATAACGGTAGCTCAATGGCTGAAAAAACAAACTTATATATAACAGGAATAACATTGCTTTGTTATTTTCGGCTAATAACACAATGACATGTGAAAAAGTTATCCTATATATCATTGCGCTATTGACCGGGAATAGAAAAAAATGATATCCCATGAATTTCTCTCCAATGGCTGAGCTGTCATTTTTTCTGCCTGATACTATTAATATTGGTATGGTAAGTTGGTTTTACATGGCCCCATGTCATTGAATCATTCTTGCTCCTCACATAGGCCAACCTTACCAACCGAGGCGTATTCAAAGTTTAATTTCGAATTAGTTGAAAGTAATTACTTAAAAAGGCTATGTGATATGATTGCTCGTAAGAATAAAAAAAAAATCAGGGAAAATATTTTCTGTACTACCACTTGGCGATTATTTTTAAAAGAGAGAATTTGAAAAATAAGTAAATGATGGCAAATATAAGATAAGACGGGAAAAGGCCCGAGAAAAACACTTTGGATTGGGCTTCGGAATTTGGCCTGGCTCAATTACTATTATTATTATTAGGCCAGAAGCTCACATTTTTAGTCAAAACCATAAGGTCTGTCAACTGATCCAATAAGTCCAAGCCTTCCCGCTTCTCGTCTCTCTTGGCCCAAGGTCACAGGGAGGTTAGAATGAGGAGTTATTGTAAAGGATTATAACTTATAATGAAGGGGTCCTTAACGGCCGTTCGATCCAGTGTGTTGGGTTGGTTGGACAAAGTATTTCGCCCAGTTAAGATCCAGCAGGGGATTAGAGAGAGACAAGACAACAGCAGCAATATATACTGCAATGCAAACTAACTATATTGATAAAGAAAAAAAAAATCAAATCATAGTGCAACTAACTAAATTGATGATGAGGGTGTACAACAAAGTCAATGTGGGAGGATGAATATATTTTAAGTTAACTCACAATCAGCTTTGCACTTGCAAGATAAATAGTTAGGCAAGCAAACTCACAAGGCATAAGGCATTGGTTAAGAATGTTGAATTGCTCAAGCATCAACCAGAATCACGCCCTCTTCCTCTTCTTGGCATGAACAATGACTTCTACTAGCAGCTACCAAATCAGTTCACCATGAATTCCATCCAGTTCGTATACCTACTGTACTGCTTTCATACTTGATACCGCTAACAGATGTATCTTCTTTTCAGTGTTCAGGTAAACAAGTATCATCTTTGAATTCCTCCATCTTCTAGGTTGGATTTTGCTGATCTAATGTTGGTGATTAGAGATTCCCCGGCACCACTTAAACCTTTCCTCCCAACCAAACTCACCCCAAATTCCTGATTTAACATTCTCATCCTGTTCTCTTCACCTTCTTCCTCACTCAGCTTAATGGCTTGATTCCTTGAAATTAAGCCATACAGACAGAGACTGAGACATCCCACGTCCAAATATTTCCCTCCAAATTTCACCTGCAACAGTGAGTTACTAGAATCAACCTCATTTGACCTGGGATCAAACAAAACAGAGAAGCTCCCAAACGTTAGGTCGGGGGTGTCAAATAATTTATTCAAATCGTCGCTTTCCCCCCCATAAACATTGTTTAATTTTTCTGATGGGATAATTGACCTCCTTTTCGCCTCTCTCAGTATATTAGCAGCCTCTCTCATTCCACTGAGTAATGCTCCATGCATTGTTGCTGGATACTGCTTGTTAGTGGCCTCTCCAGCAAAGAACACTCTCCCATCCCCAATGCTCTCTGCAAGAATATCATAATCATCTCCTGAAGACCCAACCGCAACATACGAATAAGAACCATATGCAAAGGCATCCTTCCCCCACCTAGTGCACACTGCCTGAATAGGATCTGGAACAGCAATCCCTTTCGGGTTGAAAATACCCCTTAATATCTCCAACACCCTATTCACAGACTCCACAGGAGACATCAACTCAAACTTAATGGCAGCATCTCCAGCAACAAGAGCAACCAGAAGAGGCCCTCCTGATACAGAAGAGTAGCTATAAAACAGAAAGAACTCACCTCTCATGCTCGGATCCTCAGTCAAATGCCCAAAAGTATCAATATCTCCACCCCAAAAATTATAAGGGAATAGTATGGCAACCTTATTCAATAATCCAAATCCTAAACTCTGAATTGCATCTTTCTTCCTTTGTGGAAGCTCTGGGACAAATTCAATGGAACCCTTCTTAAGCACACCTAATGGGACCGTGCAAAGAACCATGTCCCCGCGAAACTCCTGACCATTTGCGTAAACCAAAATCCCATCAGAGCCGTACCTAATACTTTGCACAGTCCTTTCATAGAAGATTGGAAGGCCCTCTGAAAGGGATCGCACAAAGGTCTCATTGCCTCCCGGAATAAAACAATGGTCACCACCCATCTCATAGGGATCATCCTGATCCCAATAGGCCATGGACAAATTGGACATTAAGGAAGCATTTGCGTATTCCAAGTTAGCCAGATGCCAATCCAAGAGCATACGCTCCTGCGGGTCTTGGGCAACACTATAAGCACGTCGAAAAGCTTCAAGTGCAGTCCCTAAGGAAACATCTACGGACTTAACTTCCTCGATCATTGCGTGCCTTAGCTTACACACCCTATCTAACAACTTATTAAAAGAAGCTTCTATCCTAGAATCAATTTCAGAATTCACTGCTTTCCCATCTGGTAAATAGAGCGGGCAAATGTCCCTCACCTTATGAAGAGGCAAACCCAGTTGCCTAGCTAAAACCCCTAACGGGTTTCCATTGATTCCGGTGAGGACACTCCCACCGAGATCTGCTGCAGCCTCCACGCCCTCGCCTTTCATTTTCCTTGTCTTCACGCGCCCACCAGGCCTGTTCCTACCTTCCAAGACCACAACTTTGAAGCCCAAGAACACCAGTTGCCTCGCCGCTACCAAACCGGCCAAACCAGCCCCCACAATGACCACATTGCCCCTCTCGACCCCATCAAAGGACTTCAATTTGGCTTCTTTAACCGCCGGTGCAAGCCCAAAGTTGATGTAGCCATGCTCCACCAGAAAGTCGTAAGCTGAGTCGACCAGGCCTTTGTGCTCCAAGCGAATTGACTCCAGCGCCAGCTCACGGGTCAACCAGAAAGAGACATTGGACCTCCACCGAGCCAAAATGTGGTTCCGCACGACGATATAGTTGGCTTGCTCAACGCCGCCAATGGTGGGGACCACGTTTGCCTCGATCTCCTCCTCCGTGAGCGAGTCGACCGGAAATCCCACTGAGATTGCGATTAGGGCTTCTACGTCAACGTCTTTGTTGAGGTCGGTCCGGCGGTTCTTGGCCAACGACGGAGTGCTGTTGAGCTCCGTAAAGAACTTCTTCCTGCGACGACGTCTCTTGGCCGGCGGACCGGGCTCGGCTGGACCAGGTTCGGCTGGGTTTGGAAGGCCTTGTTGATCAAGAAGGGAGTCTTCGCCTTCGGGGATGGGCTCGGACGAGTCATCTTGAGAGTCCGATACCGGAGCGTCAAGAGTCGTTTGGGGAGGTGCGGACGGGTTTTCCGACGAGTGGTTTTGGGAATGGTGATTGTCGTGAGGGGTTGAGCCTGAGAGTGTTAGGTCGGTTTCCGGCGATGACTCGTCGAAGACGACGTCGTTAGGAGGATTATCGGAAGGGTCCGTTGTTTCCATGTGGGTATGTCTTTCATTCGGCTCCACTCCGATATGGACTGTCCTACTTAAGCCAATTCTAATTTCTATGTCTAGGGCTTTTCGAATTTCAAAGTAAGTTAGAAAGGCCCATCTCTAACCAAACGCAATAAAGTTGGGCCGGATGAAGAGCCAGCCCAGCCACCCAAGCCGTCCTAAATTTAATTTAAAAATCTTTAAATTAATTGAGAATTTAAAAAGGGAACAAAAACGAAAGGAAAAGGAAAGTTATAGTGAGAGGGGAGGTCCACGGGACGGGGGAGACGCAACGAAGCCCAGCGAATACTCGTTGTTCGTCGTTGAAATCCATTGTTGAAGAGGAGGGACCTGGGAGCTGCTGTAGAGATAAAAATAAATAGATAGAAGGAAAGCGAAGGGGCTGCAGGCTTGACCTTGAGTTGAGAGAGATGATAACGCGATCGAATCTGGCAGAGCAGTTGAGAGAGTATCAGATTCGATCGAAGCATGACTGGGCCTCCGTCTCCTTCTTCTCCTCTACCTCTAATCATACTTTATCAAGGTTTGCCCACCCCTTCCGTTTCTCCTTTAACCTTTGATTTTTTATTTTCTTTGCTGTCTGATTGTGGGATCTATATTCTTAACAATTTGATTCGAAACCTATCGTTCCATTAAATTTTTTTATCCAATTTGAGCTAGATCAGATTTTGATCTATTTTGGCTTTGATTATTGCTAAGCTTTTATAGGCGAAACTTTAGCTTCGATACCTAAATCCCTGTCGTTGAAGCTCGGATAATTTGATAGCTCTAGGTCTATAATTTTTTCATTTCTTTCCTTTTTCTTAAGAAAAAAAACAAATCACCTGGGAATTATGTGAAATTTTGCTTTGTGGTAAATAATTATTGTCTGGAAGAAGCTATGTTATCTATTTTCCTAATATGCTAATGGTAGAAAATAAGTGATAGAATCACGGCAGTTGAAATAGAAGTGGAAAACATAATGAGGATCAAAAGTTTCTGTTGGTATAGTGCCTGCCTGTTTTTCAAACTTGGGAGTGGCTGTCTGCCATCAGGATTCAGGAGCCTCTTTAGATGCACATAAATCCAGATGATTGGTTCATTTTAGGGAGGAAAGTTTCCCAAATTGTTGTCTGCATTCCCTAAACGAAGTTCCAACAAATAGGAAAAGGGTTATCTTGGATAGTGATTGCATTTGAGCACAAATGTTGTCTTTGATCGTACTCTTGCCTTTTGTACTTAATGAGCTTGGTTTGAACTGGGGTTGAGGTATCTTTTTTATCCACGTATACCATTGCTAACCATGTGGAAGTTTTGTGGTTGAGTTATCTCATTTGTGCTTGTTTTTGATCCTTTTGGTATACTATTGTTGATGATAATATTCCATTTTCTCCCCAACTTGTGGATGCAGGGTGGATGTTGTGCTCTTTGTAATATGGGAACTGGTAATCCTAGCTTTCTTGGTTTTTTCAGCTGTTTCTTTATATTTTAGGCATGTGCGACTTGCTTTTATCTTACTATGCATAGCAATGCTATTGCTTTTGTGCATAAAAATTACCAAGCAAGTGAGACTGGCGAGGAAAAAGAAACGAAGGATGCTTCTTCCCTTATCTATGTAATACTAGACGAAGGTCACATACTACCCAACCTTATGGTGTAAATCTTGAAAATTATTGGCCAATTGCATTTGGTCTTTATCCTCTTTTTTGTTATTGGAATGTGTAATCACACCTTTGAAATATTAGTAAAAAGCGGATGTGATTACTCTGTAAGATGCTGATCCGAGTGGCAGCAAGTTCATTGATCGAGATAGGAAGATTTAGTGAGTGGGGGGCTAGTACTACTGAGGCATTGATGATTGATGATGTTTGTTTTACTTATAAACAATACAATGACTTGAGAAACAAAGTGTTGCGGCATTCAGATGCATGCTTAAAGTGTTTTTATTGCTGCGTGGATATGCAGCATGAAGTACAATTATTTTAGATATCCAAACAGTTGTTGAAGTTGTTGCTTTCCTTCTCTAAATTCAGCGTTGGGTCTGTTTCTTTACAAGGTAATGGTAATATCACCAGGACCAAGTGAAGGAGGTCCGATTGATAGAATTTGGTTGATAAGCATATCATTTCTAGACTTTGTGGTGCCCTTGTTGCTGCAGTTGCTTATTCAGGCTTGAAGAAGTGGACTTGTATTCCTATGGTCACTATATTCCAAATTGCTCCAGTGACAATTGAAATGCTAAGGACAATCCCCAAGGATCCGAGTAGCCAGTGAAAGATTGCGCTGTATTTACAAGGTTTCTTGATCAATATCCACATGAAGCATGGATATGCCAAGGTGATTGGTACGGCAATTCCTCCAAGCAATCCTGCCAAGCTGGGCAAGAATGGTAGTGCGACCGCTATAAAAAAGGCAAAGCAGCCGAAAAAGATCCTAAAGCCAGAGCGGAGCCACCATGGACAAGGTTTGTTCATGCAGCTAGTAAATCTGAGTTCCAGATTGTCAAAGACTGGCATTGCATATATTTGAAACGAGCTCAGGCTGTTCACCACAACGAGCATGCTTGTCAATCCCAGGACAAACCTTGATGTGTCCTGACTGTGGAATTTGTACAAAGCATTTAGCATCCCTCCATTTGAAGGTATCTGCCATACAGTTACGATACGTTAGTTAGTTGGGGAAGCAGGATTTATAAATCGCATTTATATTTATGTTTTTAATTTTGCAAAAAAAAAAGAACCCGACTGTTACATCTATAAAATTAATCGTTATTAATTTGTCCTAGTGACCTCGATTTATCCAAATAATCAATCCGGGTCAAGAAAAGATTATGTTGGACCGAGAAACCAAAAGGGTTTGTGTTGTTTCTTACCGAATTTCCATAAGCCCAGTAGCCGGCAATTGCTAGGGGAAACAAACACAGTGCGATGATGAGATATGCGAACTTCACCCCATTCCACATTGGCAAACGCGAGGGGCTCTTGGTGCTCGAAGGCATGGTTCCCTGCATGCATGTCAACGAACGATAATAATAAATATAGATATAAGTACTTCTATTGTTTGTATCTTAAATTCAATGATACCTGTATTTCGAGCACAAGATTGTGGCCTCTGAAAGCGAAGGTAATTATCCCAAGCGCATTTAGAACATTGAAAACGGTGGCTGCTGCTGCAGCATCAGGTTTTGGTTCCGGCGGCTGATAGGAAACAGCAGGCAGTGGCCTATGTTTGGTTATGGAAACCACCCAGATGAGCGTGCAGTAGCTCACGGCGGTGAGAGCCCCAATGAGGGAAATTCCAGCGATGGAGTTGAGGTTAGGAAGCTGAGCAACAAGGATGGCTGAGCCGGTGAACACCAAGTACCACTCTGTCGTCGACAGTGGATTCACAACGCCGATATCACCGCACACGATTTCATAAAATATTTTCATGGTCCCACCGCCGATCATGATCAGGGTTACGCACGTGCCGCCTGAGAGGTACATGATTGGAAACAGCGCAAGAAATTTCCCCAGTTTCTCACCTGTAATGTACACATATATACACACACATGCATGCACTTGATTAGTTTTCAAAATTAAATAGGCTAGCTGTATGTTGCTAAAAGGAAAAAAAAATTTGAATACTTTTTATTTTCCTTGTTTTTTTAGTCTAAAAACGCCAACCTACTTTCTCACTAACCAAGATTATTTAGGGCCCGTCTGGTAACGTTTTCGGAGAGTATTTTCTGAGAATATTTTCAGAGAATGAAAACTAGAAAACGAATTTGTATTTTCAGGAAATGAAAATGTGTCTGGTAGATTAATTAGAAAACATCTTCAAAAAATAAAAATAATGAAAACGTGTCTGGTAGTACAATTTGAAATAATAATATGTGAGTTATTTTTATGAAAACGTTTTCCACGAGAATGAAAACAACTTTTTTCTGTTTTCTGCAAGTACACATGAACTTGTTTTCATTTTATGAAAACATTCTCAGTGTTTTTTGTTTTTGGGCCACCGAACGTGTTTTTGCCTCATTTTTGTTCTCTGAAAATGAAAACAACCTCTTAAAACGTTACTGAACGGGCCCATAATATCATAGATTCAAAAGAGGGTCCACAGCCGGTCAATATTACACAGACTTAATTTTGATTACCATATGCAATTCAATTCATGCAAGTGTTACGTCATATATATTATAGAGTTTCCGTTGAAGCATTTATCAAATAAGCTTTATTTGAGATATTTTTTTGTAGAGTCCATTCCGAATTGTATTTAATTCAAATATAAACTCTATAAAAAATCACTTAAAGCCGATATTATTTTACAGTTCAATTAAATTATTGAAATTTAAGTACTTAAAGCAACGTATTCATTAATTTTGTAGGTCTCAATTAGATGCCTTAATGATTTTCAATTTGTTTGATTTTTTGAATGATTGAGATTTCTTGCCTCATATCCATCTGGGCTAGTAGCATGCATCATCGGTCACTTGCTTAATCATTATCTAGCGATTAGGGAACTAATAATAAAGTTAAAAGTAATGGATAATTAACCAAAGATTGTATATAGTTATAATTCTTCAAAGCCAATAATATCATTCTAATTATCACGAAACCGTATACATTTTATATTGTTACTTGTTGAGGTGGCGACTCAGGCGAACCCTAAAAACCGCATATTGATTTTTCCTTAGTATTAATAATCTTCACTATTGTTTAATTATTATTAATTTGGAAAGTGGGGACTCTGTGAAGACGTTGCAAAGTTTAATAATAATTGGTCGTAGATTAGCAGTGAGTGAGTGAATGACCGCATAGAATTACCAAAAGCAGCCATGGAAAGGCGAAGGTATCTGCTGTATCGCGTTCCAGACTCAGATTCATGCAGCTGTATGAGTAACCACAGAGTATAGAGCTGCCACATGAAAGCCAGTGAGAGACATATAATTCCCCATGCCCTGCATTAGATATATCATCATCAGAAAAAAAGATGTAGTTTTCACGTCAGTGAAGTTGCCATATCGAGGTACCCTAATATATGTAAGTAACGTAAAGGAGGAATTAAGAAAGTACTTACCAACCAAGACCGGTGAAAGAGAGGGGAAGAAGGAGGGATGGAATTCCGATGCCCGAACTGAGCGTGTGAAAAGCGGAGTAAAAGGCATTACCATTTCTGGACTCGGTGATGGGAAGCCAGGCGTCCTGAGGATCAAGTTTTGTCAAGTGACCAACTTCTTCTAAGTAGCCTCTCATGCTTGCAATGGCCTTCTTCATCCTGGGGCTGGCTAGAGGAGTCGCCATAAAACGAGAACCGAGTGGGCTCTTTGCAGGGGTTTTTGGGCTCACCGTTACTTCCTCCACCTCTCCCATCGCATCGCCCAAATCAATCCCTCTCTCTCTCTCTCTCTCTCTCTCTCTCTCTCTCTCTCTCTCTCTCTCTCTCTCTCTCTCTCTCTCTCTCTCTCTCTCTCTCTCTCTCTCTCTCTCTCTCTCTCTCTCTCTCTCTCTCTCTCTCTCTCTCTCTCTCTCTCTCTCTCTCTCTCTCTCTCTCTCTCTCTCTCTCTCTCTCTCTCTCTCTCTCTCTCTCTCTCTCTCTCTCTCTCTCTCTCTCTCTCTCTCTCTCTCTCTCTCTCTCTCTCTCTCTCTCTCTCTCTCTCTCTCTCTCTCTCTCTCTCTCTCTCTCTCTCTCTCTCTCTCTCTCTCTCTCTCTCTCTCTCTCTCTCTCTCTCTCTCTCTCTCTCTCTCTCTCTCTCTCTCTCTCTCTCTCTCTCTCTCTCTCTCTCTCTCTCTCTCTCTCTCTCTCTCTCTCTCTCTCTCTCTCTCTCTCTCTCTCTCTCTCTCTCTCTCTCTCTCTCTCTCTCTCTCTCTCAAACTGATGAATTTGTTGAGAGTTGAGGAGGGTTTCTGAAGAAGACCAAAATTTTTGTTGAATATATAGAGAGAAGTGATAAAGCGACAAAATTAAGTTAGATGGCTTTGAAATGTGGGGGTTTTTGCTTTTTCTTCTTGTTTGGTTTTTAGCTATCTTTTTAGGAGGGTTGGTCGAGGAAAGGGATCCTGGCCTGGCTGCTTGGAAAAAAAACTTATATGTAATAGGAATAACACTATAACACAGTGATATGTGAAAAAATTATCCTGCATTTCGTTGTGTTATTGGCCTAAAATAACACTATAACCCTATCCATGAGAGGCGAACAATGATTCATATGGATTGATCGATGTATGGCTGGATGGTGAGTAGGTGAATTAATAATTTAATGATTCGTCCAAAAATAATAATAATAATAATAATAATTTAATGGAGTTGAATGTGGGAGGAAGCTTGTGAATGTGATCAGCCCTTAGCTAATCGTATTGAAAGTAGAAAGCTGCTTTTGACTGAGCCACGTTTGGCTGCTCCTGCTGTACGTGTTATGCATTTATTTTCTATAAAGATGATGAGATGTCACTGCCCATTACCAGTCGTCTAAGTGTTATTGGGCACTTTTTCTTTTTCGGGCTTGTCCGTTTGGGATTGGGAGGAGGGACTTTCAACCACATTTTATTCAACTAATAATTAAGGCCATTGCATTTGCCACCCTGCCTGCCTGGTCCATGCCATTGCCATGGAAAGCTCAGTCTCATCACTAATTGCATGTTTATTAATATATAATTAAATTAGAGGAATTGAATTGAGGATGAATTAAATTGAGGAGGAGTTAGATTCCGGATTTCTATTGAAGTTGTTTACTAAATCATATGGAATTTGAGTATGAGTGGTACTAATTACTAAAATGTTCTCATTATTAGGTTAAAGTAAATGATAAATTTGAAAATTTAAAAATTGTGTGAGGATATAATGAGTAAAAAAAATGAATTCCTAATGAGTTAGTTATCCATAAATTAGAATACCACCTCCCACCCGAGAATTGAAATTCCTTTAAAATCAGGAATTCAATTCCTAATTTTGTGTTGGCCCCACATACTTTTCAATTCCTTGATGTGAAGTAAACCCATGAATCCTCCATAGGTGAAATTCAATTCCTGATTAATAAATACATCATAAATTAACTTAATAACTTAAACTTACTTGTATATTAATTGATCAGTTCTAATATATTTGTCCTTAAATGATTACAAATCTTGCAGCATTTGCAGGGTATACGCTTGTGGGAATACACGTACACCTCACTAGTATATCCTTGCGCGCGGGTACGATGGTGAAAAAGAGAAGTTTCATCAACATAAACAAATCTGCCTGTTTGTAATCATGAGGGTAATGGATAATCTTAATTAGGGGCCTGTTCACGCGTAGTTGTTGTGCTAAACTAAAGTAACTAATTATATTGTGAGACATTAGAGATGATATGCTATAAGTAGGTTTTGGTGGCTTACATCATCAGCTTTGCAACCTTATAATTGTAGAAATATGACTAGAGTTTAGAGAAGGATAAGAAATATAATAGGAAGAATACCCCACGGTAAGTATATTCTGGTTGTATTGGATTTCTTTTATATGCTTATACAGTTGACTTTGCACATAAATATAAACAGAATAAATTTTACAAATGGTAAAACATAAAATTATAGGGATTGATTGAGATAATGAAGCAATCACACTTGAATATGGCTACAGACTGCCGTGACTTGTGGAGAGTGTCTTGCATATTCATTGGCTGATGGGTAGGATGCTCTTCAATAATGCTACACGTACGTATATAATTTCTCCTTCATGTGGCCATTGCAGCGCGCTTTCCTGGTGGCTTCTCTCTCTCTCTCTCTCTCTCTCTCTCTCGCTTTATGACTGAATCTTATTCCAAATTGCTTTTGTCTGATTATTTTCTTCTACTTTTCTGTTAGTTGGTGTTGGTGGCTGTCCTTTTTCCTTAAAAAAGTTGTTCTTATGTATGTTGATAATGTTACAATTATAATAAAGGATATATATATATACAATCATATAGCAGGCCAGAAGTGATCTGAACTTACAGGAATTTACTTGAATAGGGAAACTCAAAATAATAATATTAGAAAAAGGATTTATTGAAGTGTACTTACGAAAACATACACGTAAGTCTATCAAGGGGAAGGCAACAAATGAAAAAGAAATAATCATCCTGCTGATTAAGGAAGTGAATGCAGGATGGGATGAAGGGATGAAGTAGCTAGAATAGAAGAACTATTGGGGCTTAAAAAAGCTGACTTGAATTCCAGTGTCAATGACAACATAAATGCCAGCAGCTATGAGTATAATAGAGAGAACGGTGCCCAAAAGGCCTAGCCCCCAATTGAGGAACCACATAAAGCTGTATTTCTTGGGCTTCTTCACCTTCAACCACAGAAAGCAAGGATAAGCGAAGGTAATCGGAATGGAGATCCCTCCGATCAGACCCGCAAAGCTACCTAGGAATGGAATTGCCACTGCTATAAAAAAGCACCCGTATCCAAACATGGCTCTTGAAATCGACCTGATCCACCAGGGGCACGGTTTACGCATGCGTTTGATGTATTTGGACTCCATGTCATCAAACATGGGCATCCCAAATATCTGGAAGGAGCTCACCGCATTCATTACAATGAATAAGCTGGTCAATCCAAGAACCCATTGGGAAGTGTCACGTCCGTGGTATTCATATATTGCAGTCATCATTCCCCCATTCGGTGGAATCTATTTCCAAACACACTTGCAAACATGAGTAATTAATTAACACAAACACATATCACATATATAATAAATCAATTAGGCATGCACCTTGTGTCCGTATGCCCAGTATCCTCCAATTGCTAGAGGAAACAAGCACATTGCGATCACTAGATATGCAACCTTTACCCCTCTCCACATTGGCACGTGCGATGGCTTTTTCTCACTTGAAGGCATGGTTGCCTGCATATTAAGATTATTAAGGCCATGTTTGGTATCCTACTCAAAAAAGTAAACTGAAAAAATTACTATTCTTTTTAAAAACACGAGTTTTCAAATAGTGATTTTAAGATCTAAAACCTTGTTTGGTATTGAACTTCAAACTATTTTTAAGATCTAAAAAAAATTGAAATTAAAATCAGAAAATCATAAACCCTAATCCCCAAATTGAAATTAACAAAAGAAAAGGAAAAAGATGTGAAGCATAAACCCAATCAATTTTGGTGGTGCGCAAGAGAGAGAGAGAGAGAGAGAGGGGAAAAAAAACACCTCACTTTTTTTGAATTTTTTTTGGGTTTGGTTTTTAAAAATTGGCCTATCAAACAACTTTTTGGAGCAAATCTGTTTTTGAGTTTATAAAATTGGATTCAAGTAGGATACCAAACAGGCCCTAAATTTGTTGTGTCTAAAATTAATTTAGAAGCAGGTAGGGCAGGTTTCTGGGCCACTTGACTTGATAATAGTAAAGAGTCAATGTTGCAGAGTCATTTTATGGTGAGGGTGCCATATACGGACTATAGATGTAAACTTTCAAATTAGCTATAAGATTCATTTGAATAGTAATTTCACTTGGTCCATATGGCACCCTCACTATAGAATCTCGCCAACGTTGCAATGGTACCTAGAACAAGCGGGCCAAGCCCAAATAACATAAAGAACTACTTACCTGAATTTCTAGGGTAAGATTATGGCCTTTGAAAGCAAAGGAAATAATGCCAAGCGCATTGAGAACGCTGAAAACCATAGCGGTGTTGGTGTTTTCTCTTATGGGATCATAAGAGACGCCGTCAAGCCTTCCCTCAGTGACGGCGACGAGCCACATGATAGTGCAATAGCCAATGGCGGTGATGGGACCAACTAGAGAGACACCGGCAATGGAGTTCAAGTTGGGGAGCTGAGACAGAAGCACGGCAGCGCAGGTAAAGACCAAATACCACTCGACGGCGGTGAGAGGCTTGGAAGTGCAGTCGTGGCCGCACACAATCTCGTAGAAGAGCTTCATGCTGGAGCCGCCCACTATAATCAAGGCACAACAGGTTCCCCCAGAAAGGTAATAGATGGGGAAGACGGCGAAGATCTTAGCCATTTTGTCACCGAAGGTAGCACTGAAGAGCTGGAGATATCTGCTGTAACGCATCCCAGTTTTGGTGGATTCATGGAGCTTCACCAGAAGCCACAGGGTGTAAAGCTGCCATATGAACGCCAGTGTCAAGCTTATCACCCCCCATGTCCTGCAAATACCGCAAATTGCAAATTGCACGCATATATTATATTATAATTTATATATACACACAAGACACAACACAACAAGGGAAAGGGTATGTTACGTACTAAGTAATATTAATAAATATGTATATGTATATAATTAAGATGACGTACCATCCAAGAATGGTGAAGGAGACAGGAAGCACAAGGGCTGGAATTCCAATACCAGAGCAAAGGGTATGGAAGGCAGCATAGTAGGCATTGCCATTCCTTGACTCGGTGATGGGGAGCCAAGCGTCGTGATCCTGACTACGAGGGTCAAACTTGGTGAGTTGGATGGCCCTTCTAATTGGGCTACCCAATGGTGTGAAGAAATTGGGAGTGTGAGACTTTGGGGTAGCTGCTGCTCTATTGATATTATTTGTAGGTACAATAGAGAGTAGAAGGGGCTTCCTTGACATAGATGGTGAAGTTGTACTAGTACTAGTGCCCTCCGGTGATGATGACTCCATGGGAGGTGCGCATGCGGACACCGCATCATCATCAATCACATGACCATGATCATGATGATCACCTGCATCCAATATTTGATCGTCATCATCTACTTGGGTGGCACTCATCGTGATGATGATCCTAGGGTCATCATTAGGCTCGATACTAGAAATGGAAATATTGTCTTCCACTGTTGTTAACTCATCACCCATCTCTCTCCGGTTTTGATTCTGATCTCCCATGTATATATATTTGCTCTCATGCACCTCTCACCGTTTTTTATATTTCCCCCCCCCCAGAAACACTTGATCACAAAATGGCCATTGCTAATTAGCTTTCTATATATAGAGTATAGAATGACTCAGTTATGAGTCTTTTTTCTGGCATAACTTGTGTGGTGAGTGGTGAAACTGACATGCATCAATTACTATAGTTGTGGGTCGACAACTTTTGTTGACCGGCACTCAGGGAATCAAAACGCACAAGCTCTAAATTTCCTCAAAGGGTAGGGTCCTCACATGTCGTTCAACAATTTAATGATATATATATATATCTTCTCCCATCAGTTTGTTTCTACAACGAATCATAAATAAATATGTAAGAAAAAGAAGAAGGACATCCATACCATTATATATTTTATTTCTTGATCAGCCTTAAAGTGGGGAAGGTCGTTTCTGTGCTTGAATTGACTAATAAGTTTTCATATGCTAGACAAGTAAAGTCTCAAATGAATCAGTTAATCATTAATTCAATTGAATTATTAGCCTCTTAACGGTGTCTTTTAGGAGACCGGATTCAGTCAATTCAACTCCCTTCTGATGTTTTTAGTTTTAGATAATCTGACAGTTAGTGAACTACTATCAATGCATTGGTAATGTCCAATAAGCCAACTATAACATCAGTTTGCAATTTGTGTATATAAATATATATGTTTTGCTTGATAAGCTAGCTCTTTGCCACGACGGTCTGACAACGCCATCTTTCCAGAATGTTTGAAAAACCGGGGGCAATAGTTCCATGTGATTCCACATTTGTGGGATTAGAAAAATGCGTTTGAAATCAGTGGGGCAATAACATTTATAATTTCAGCAGCCATAAGTCAATCTCAGGAAATTCAATTGCAGGATTGTTAAACAAGCGCGTTATACACGCCTTCTAGTAGCTTATATTTCTATAACTAATTAGAAGCATCCATCCAAATTGTTAATTATTTGATTAGAAGCATCCATCCACTTCTGCCCGAAAGCTTTGTAATCATTAGAGCATCAGTAATAATACCTGCTCTGCGGCTCTGCCTCTGCTGGATTAGTTTCAAGAAACCTGAAAACTTTTGTATATAAAATCTGCTGGATTAGCTAGGTTTAGAGACGACGGCGCACGCGATAACCGAGTGAACAAGTAAAGCACGGCGCGACTTTTAAACAGGGTCATTTTGTCTTGGTTACAATTGGGCCACTTGGTTGGTTTCAATTCAATAGATTTTTAAAGAATAAGCCCAGAGGCCAGGCAGCAGATTTGACTGCCTTGCAAGGATAAGCCAGCCCACTTGGTCTTCATTCAATTTCAATACCAAACAACTCATACATGCATATGCACTGTGTGCTTGCCTTGCACAGCGCGCTAAGGTTAAGGGCTTGAAGAAGAAGAAGGTGCTCAGGATTTTTCACGTTCCAACAAAACCACATAAATGTGCTGATTGGACATGGATATATCATATCTTAGGAAAGAATGCAAAGATTACATGACATGACATAACATAACATATCTAGGAATTATTGAAAATGGCTCTGGCTGGGATGCACAGAGAGAATCCCATGTTATTTCCAGGATCCCTCCACTGCCTGTCGCATGCGAAAGCTAGCTCCAACTTAATTTGCAGCAGTCAAAGTTTAGAAGAAGAAGAAGAAGAAGTTGCAAGCTGAATAAGATCCTTCCTAAGAATCTTTCCAGATGGATTCTTAGGTACGGAAGCTATGAATGCCACCCTCCTGATTTTCTTGTACGGCGCCACCTGTTTCTCGACAAATTCCATGACATCCTTCTCCGACAAATTGCTTCCGGCTTTCCTTACCACATATGCCATCGGATACTGTCCAACTTTATCATCAGGAAATCTGCCAACAACATTTACAAATATCCAAACAGATTGAGTACGCAAAGGATAAATAGGAGATGTTCGACACTTGCTTTGTTGCCGTAATAAAATATGGAGAAAGACTTACGGTATAACAGCAGCATCAGCAATTTGAGGGTGCGTTAGTAATAAAGCTTCTAGTTCCGCAGGGGGGACCTAAACCATCCACACAATTAATAATATTCATCAAATCAGATTAGGTATGCCGCATGCGATCGATAAACAAACATCTCCTAAATATTTCTTACCTTACAAACAAAAAACTACAGCTATTTGGAAAACGAGTGTATCCCATATGCATGCATATATATATATATATAATGAAAACTACCTGATATCCCTTGTACTTAATGAGCTCCTTCAACCTATCAACCACAAAAATGAATCCATCCTCATCGATGTAACACATGTCTCCAGTTCTTAACCATCCTTGTGCATCAAGGGTCGCTGCAGTGGCTTCTGCGTTACCGAAATACTCTGCATTTGTACCAACCCACCCATGCAATATTATACATTACCACTCCATGGTAAATAAAATCCGTCATCAAAACGAACATACATTTATTACGAAATAAAAATGGAGATGAATAATATATGAAACTCAACCAACACCAACCGCAAATATAATAATTTCAATTCACTCTAGATTAAGAGAGAGACTTTCATACAACAACACTACGTCGACCAATAGCACAAGGACAATGCTTGGCTCATGATATATGGAGCCATTCCTCCTCAATACAAGATGTGGTTTCTTACAAAATGACATATGTTTTTTTCTTCTCTCTTCTCTCCATCTCTCCATGTCTTTCTTCCACCATTCCCAAAATTTTCAAAACTCCCCAATAAATAACTCAATAAAATTAAAAATTAAAGAGGAGAAAAATCAATACATAGTGTTTGGGTGATGATGATGGAGAAGAGAGAGCTGGGGAAGGAGAGGAGAGTGGGTGAGGAGAGAGCGGGAGAGTCAATGAAACCAAAAAAAGAGAGGAAAACAAATAGAAACATGGGAAGAGACAGAGATGGGGAGATGAGAGAAGAGAGAGCTGGGGGAGAGGAGAGGAGAGTGAGTGAGAAGAGAGAGAGGGAGAGTCAGTGAAACAAAAAAATCAAAATAAAACAAAAATAAAAAAGAAATATGTGTCATTTTTTAAGAAGACCACAACTTGTATTGAGGAGGAATGACTCCTGATCTATCAGGAGCCAACATTGTCCATAGCACAATGCGAGCGAAACAACTTTTCATTGGATTATTGTCTAAGAGAGATACGTAATTATATCATCCAGTACTGTAATTTAATTGCAATAATCTCTCTATCTGTCTCGTGCTTCTATAATAATAATTAATATTAGATACTTTTTTTTGGGTAATATTAATATTAGATACCTCAAATATATCTTAGTGACATTACCGATCAATTCATAAATAAAATAATAGAGCAAATAATGAGTGCCCGTGGTAGCTAGCCTTGTACCTTTCATGATGGTGGGACCCTTCAACCAGAGCTCACCCGTCTGATTCACTGCTAGTGCCTTACCGCTGTCCGGGTCCACAATCTTCGCCTCCATGCTCGCCGACAACAGCCCCGCCGTACCATACCTTCGACTCTCCTCCAGGTTGTCCGTCGACGCTCCCACGCCCGTCGATTCCGTCAATCCGTACCCCTGAAGAATGTTGACGGTCGGATATTTCTCCACGAATCCCTCAATCACTTCCTTGCTGAGTGGGGCCCCACCAGACAGAACCCTACGCAGGGAACTCAGATCGTACTTGGCCTTGATCTGATCTGCAGCGTTGATGAGCGCAACCAGTATGGGAGGAACAAGCGGAAGGTAAGTGACACGGTGCTTCTGGATGGCCCACAGCATATCATGCATCTCGAACTTGGAGAGAACCACGATCGTTGATCCCGAGGCCAGTAGACCCGTGGCGAACACTGCTAAGCCGTAGATGTGGAACATGGGAACCGTGCACAGGAACGTATCCTCCCCATCGTCCAGATTGAAGCGGCTGAGAACGACCCGCACCATCGCTATCAGATTCTTGTGCGACGACACCACGCCTTTACTGGCACCCGTAGTCCCCGACGAGTAGAGCAGAGTCGCTATGTCATCCTGATTGATTTCTTCCTTCAAAGTCAATCCACCGTTGCTACTCCCATGCCTTTCCTTCCTCACCATCATCTGTCCCAAGGTCGACACAATTTTTCCATTTCCAGTTCCATGATTAGGAGCTTTAATTTCGTCGTCATCAATGAGCACGATGGACAGATCAGTAGTTGAACCGCCAAGTTTGGAGATGAGTTGACGGGTTGTGAAGGCCAGCACCGGTTTGGAATCGGCGATTTGCTTGGCAATTTCGCCAGTGGTGTTGAGGGGGTTGGTGGTTGTTATAATCGCACCCAGCGACATCACGGCCAGGCACACCACCGGGAAGAAGATGGAGTTTGGGGACAGCAGCAGTATGACGTGGCCCTTTCGAATGCCCATGTCGGAGAGAGAGGAGGCAACTGAACGCACGGCACGCCAGAGTTGAGCGTAGGTGAGTTGGCGGCCGGTGGAGCCGTCGATGAAGGCGACGGTGCCACGGTGGGCCTGAGACGAAATGAAAGTGGTGATGTCCAAAGAATCGTTGTGAGGGAGTGGTATGGGCTTGCGCTTGCTGTAGAATGTCGAGCTGGAATTGCAGAATCCGCTTCTGCCATCCACCTTTGCAGAGCCCATCACCGCCGTCGTCGTCATCACTACAATTTGCGATTTAGGATTAGATTAGAGAAGAGTTGCCTTTCGACTTTCTTTCCAAAATTTATTTTGTTTGTTGGTCCAATCCAAACGTTTCAAAATGCGAGACGCCTTTTATAACTACTACAAATTGAGTATTTGACCTTTGACCGCTCACCTTTTAGTTTGGTCATTGGACACACGTTTTTTCTCGTCTTCTTTTATTGTGCATGGGACACACATGTTCAAATACTTGTATGACCCAAACATTTTTATGGTTTGCCAAGGATTTTTTTTCTCTTTATTTAATTTAATTTTTTTTAATGAATTAAAGTTTAGGGCATTGCCTATTTTCACTATCAGGGTTAGTGCAGATCTACAATCTCGAGCACTTACATATGGCACTTAATTACCAACTGTCACCGATATAAATTTATATAGAAAATCATAAATTGTACACCAATGCAAAACATGCTTCACTGTGCATGATTTTTATATGAATTAGGGGAGGATTTTTTTTTTTCTTTTCAATCTGTTTTATATGCGCATGCGGAGCACTTACATATGACACTTAATTACCAACTGTCACCGATATAAATTTATATAGAAAATCATAAATTGTACACCAACGCAAAACATGCTTCACTGTGCATGATTTTTATATGAATTAGGGGAGGAATTTTTTTTTTCTTTTCAATCTGTTTTATATGCGCATGCGCAAGGGCGGAACCACACCAAGGGCTACAGTGGGCTGTAGCCCAGTGTAATTTGTTAAGAAAAAAAATATAAAACCTATATATTTAACTTATTTTCAATATTAGCCTAGTCAGTGGCAGTGTACATATTACCTTATTTCCATTTTCAACATTTAAGTAAATGTCTTTGTCATTTTACTTTTATTTATTTTTATATTACTCAATTTACTTAAGTTTACAATGTAAATAAGGAAGTACCCCCCATTTGGATTCAAATAAAAATACTAGAAAATCAAATTCCAACCAAATCAAATTATGAAAAATCGATTTTAGTGCAAAATACGATTTAGGCTAAAAATGATGGCTCATTAAGTCAATATATACTTCATACTAAAATCCCATAAAATCAAGTTTTCTTATTTGATATGTGAGTAATAAAAGCCGCCAAAAATTATATTGAGAAAATGATTATTCCGAAAATTCATTTTTCATACTTAGTCAATATTTTTACATAAAACAATTTTTCATGTATGATATGAATGCATGAAGGAACCTAAGGTCAATCTAGGTAAAAAGCCTTAGATGTTCAATTCACTATGGTGTTAAACCCTATTTGGTTTATGTTAAAATTTATTAAAAATTAGTCTATGGAGCTATGCACTAGTATGGTTATATGATTTAATGTTTACTTTTATTTCTAGAAAGACTATAGAAATTGTAAGTACCAAAAAAAATAATTATTAAATTTTAAGCTAATAACTTTAGCTAGCCCACCCGTTGAAAAATTCCTGATTCCGCCCTTACGCATGCGGCATGTACCACGCATATTAAAATAAATTATTGTATGATATGTAGTTTGAAAAAGTCTCTTTCTCTTTCTTCTACTACCCAAAAACCAATGCGTAATGAAATGTATGTGGTCACATCATTCATTCATTCAGTTGTGTATTTTTCTTTTTGGAAAGAGATCACAATTCTGTATTTAGTATGTATACTGGTAGCTGATCGAGCCAATTATGACTTTTCAGTTCTGGGTGGCCATGGCAAAACAAAAACTCGCTTTTCGAAATGGGCCTCTTCTTGGGCTCCGGTTCAGTAAGCCGGGGTTTATCATGAATTTGGGTTTGGAGCAACATTGGTGAAGCGAAGCCCATAACTTTGTCGACTCATTAGAAGTTAGAACCAAAACTGGGTCAGCTCAGGTCAGTTTGACAGGTGGGTTGTCAGGTGCGGAGCATTTTCTGAATTGAGATTTGAGATTTGAGAGTCTAGGGCTTCTCCTTGCGCACAGAGAGAGAGAGAGAGAGAGAGAGGAGTGATCTAGGAAATGGGGGGAGGACATGGAGAGGGCACCACGTACAAGGGCTTCACGGTGCATCAGCCTAAGCGATGGCACACGCTCACCGGCAAAGGCATGTGCGCTATGATGTGGTAATCCCTCAGCTCTCTGTCTCCATACTCTTTCTTCATCTTTCTCACAACTCTTCTTCACTTCTTGACTCCGTTTTATATCTTACACATATATTTCACTGATTTTGAATTTGTTCAATTCAGATATTGATCAAATTTCATTCAATTCAATGCACCTTGTCATATCCGCTCTGCGTGCCTTGTTGTTTATCTTAAAGCATCGTTTTTTTTTGGGCAACTTAGACATGGAGAAATGCTAACGGGAAGAAATGAGAATTCACTTAAACATTTGGGATTGAAATTGGGTTATCTGGCTGTTGAATTTGGGTGGCTTGGGAGCTGAAATTGACTCATAGGATTTCTTGTTGTGAGTAACATTTGGTTGATGAGTAGTTTGTATGGAAATGGAACCATAGTATCAAACATTACTTTCTGTATTTCCCTTGTGGGTTAGCTTATATTCTAGGCGGACTTCTAGTGGCTTCGGTGCTTGATTTTTAGCATAGAGGACACCAGTAATTGGAATCGTGCAATATGGGATAAAGTTGAAGTAGGGGATTGAGGTTTTCTTTAGGTGATTCATGCATACAAATATTCCAGTAATGAATCATTAATCGGTTCATCTAAGTCTACCACTAAGTTATAGTTTTTCTTTCTTCCTTTTGAATTTTGGTTCTCTGTGTTGCAACTAAAAGGATAAATATTGCATGTCAGTTTATGTTTCCGCCTCGCACTTTCTCTGTTTTCTATCTTCTCCGCAATAATATTGCAATTCTTTGTAGGTTACTGGTTTTGTTTAATTTCTCAGGTTTTGGGTGCTGTACAGGGCCAAGCAAGATGGTCCTGTAGTTCTGGTAAGAGCTTCTCTTGTTTCAATTTTCTCTGCAATTCGATATACTTACATTACTCACTTTCTTATTATGTCTTTTAGGGTTGGAGACATCCCTGGGAGGGGCATGGTGATCATTCCCATGGTGATCATTAGGTACTGTTCATCCTTTTTTGTCTCAGCTTTAACTACTTGACAAGCACATATACTCGTAATATCCACTGTATTTTATTTGCTTTATGTGATACTTATTATTTGGGAAGTGGGGGTCATACTCATGAACTCCTATTTAGAGTAGAGATCTGGCTACAAACGTGGCAATGTTGTAGCCGTGCTTTCACACTGTTCACTAACTATCACATGTACTAGGCTTAGTAGTTATGGGTTCTTGAATGTAGTAGATGCAAGGATCGTGATGCTATATATATGGGAAATCTGTGGGTTTCCCTTAGCTACCAGGCTTAAGTATTTACATATTGGTTACAGTTTATGTTAGGTTTGTGTTATCTTTGTTCGCTTGTGTTTCAGTTTATTAATTAATTAATTTATCAATTAGACTTTCAATAAGTAATTTAATTTGTGTTGAAAGAAATGTGAAATGAAATCATCTTTAGTATATTGTTGCAGGGGTCCTGTTGAAGAGCGAAGAGTTGGAATCATAAAGGGCTTTTCCGGTGGGATACTGGTGAAAATGTCGTGTGGAACTTGTTTGTTGATTTCTGTTTAATAAAATGATTGTGAAGAAAGAGATTGTGATGAGCATGATGACATGAAACTACGTTTCAGAATGTTAAATTTATGATGTATGTATGCTGCTATCCTGTAAACACATTGTGAGGTTGAAACTAGTTGCATTTTGCTTTGGCTTCAATTGTTTTAATTGTACCAGTCTTTCTTTGCAACTCATTTGAAAGTTCACTATGTTATCAACAGTTCCAAAACATCATATTAAAAATCCACTGAAGTTGCAACCGATATATAATAATAATAGAACACGAAAATCAGGTGGTGTGTGAAATATTTAGCCAATGTATACTCGTTTTATATCATAAAACGGTCTCACCGGTGTGTGAATAATATGGAAAAAAAACGTCTATTGTAAAGAATCAAAGAATTTGTTAACATATTTAAGTAAAAAAAAACAAAACCAAAAAGAGAAGAATTGGGTTTATAGCAGTAGGTAGGTTAGCTAGGCCTAGGACTCTAGGAGGAGGAGGAGAGGAGGCTGGCTAGCTGGTGGTGGTAAGTATATTGAGAAGCGCAACTCTGGTGTGGATCAAACGCCTAAACATGCAGTCTAACTCAGATTCAAGATCTTGAATGGCAATCTCTACAGCGTCCAATCTTTTGCTGGCACTTTGAAGCGCCGTGGCGTCGCATATGCCATACACTCTTTGTCTGTTTCGCCAACTCCAACGTGGACGCATGAACTTGGCCTTGATGAATTTGGATTTGGTAGTATTAGTAGCTGATTTCCGGTCGAGCCAAGGTATGGAAATTAGGGACAAGAGAGTCTCCACGATGGAAACGGCGGTCACCCTCACTTGTCTCAGCACATCTACCACCACCCTAAGGTTGTGGTCCATGTATATGGGGGAGGACTCTAGCAGTGGTTGTGAAGTACAGATACACATGGACGACTTGTTCTTTTTGATCCCTTTGAAAGAATTCAAGCACTTGAGCGTCTCTTGCTTGAGCTTCTTCCTGTAGCAATTGTAAGCTCCCATTTTGTTATCAATGTCCGCTTCTTGGTCGCTGCTTACTCTGCGCAACATGTATTGAAGGTCTTGGAGATGCTCTTTTACCATTAAAAGAACGTCTTTGGAAATGCCACACACATCCAACATTCGCAGAGATGCTTCTGAGACTTGATGAACCCATTTCTCCTGTCTGTCGTGGACGAGTGCTTGTTGGATCATGGGTGAGTAGAGAAGGTTATTTGCAGAGTTATGCAGGTCTTTCAGAGCTTCAAAGTTTGGACATGCGATTGCCATGGTCGCTATTCTTAATTTGATGACTTTTAATAAGATGAGGATGATGATGATGATGTACGTAGGTGGTAGCTGAGCTTAAGGTACGTAGAGAGTTTGTGCGTGCAGTATGCGATATATACCTCTGCATTTACATCGTCTGAACCCTACATATATATACATTCATAGTGATGAAGCTAAAAGAAAGACACAGCTTTAGCCTTAGGCTGAATAATATTATGACTTAGATCTGAGATCTTCAGGGAAAGGAAAGGACTAGGAAGAATCCTTTGGATGAGTACGGACAGAGTTTGAGATCCCTTTCCTTTATGTGTATATTAGTTAACAGGACAGCTAAGCCTAACCTAAGGGAAGGAAGGGCCACCAATTTGTATTCTAGGAACCTTCCAGAAATGAATGTATGTATACAGTATATATATATCTGTCATATATCCAGTAGGATATCGGAGTAGGAGATATTGTTGTTGGCGATTAGACCCGTAAGGCTAATCATACATGCACGAGGGAAGGGTGCCAGCCTGGTTTTGATTGTTAGAAACCAGACAAGATGTTTCTCATAAACATATTAATCAACGATCAAAGCCTTTGTTATAAAATGATCACTTCATTTACTTTACAGTGCTGTCTCTTGTCTCTCTGCATATGCTTTTGTTTTCTCAATGTATATATATTCTGACACCAAAATCCACAGTTGGACAAGTTAAACGACCGACCTTCCAAGAAGTTGATCATGTCAAAGTTCATTCACATTCACGTTCACACAGAGTCAGAGCTAGCTAGCTCCTTCTTCCTCGTCTTAAAAAAGAGAGGGAGAGAGAGAGAGAGAGAGAGAGATTGACAATTTGATAGCTTCTTCCTGGTTGTTCATGTAGCCCAAATACGAAAAAGCAATGGGCTCAGCACTCCAGATTCATGACCCAACAAATGGTCAGCCCATAAGTCATATTATATGAAGCGAGCTGGGCTTCATTTCTACTTCATTTTTTGTTTTTTGTTTTAAATCAAATCAAATCAAATCAAACAAAACTAAAAATGAAATAAAAAGAAAATGAGATAATGAATGGATAGCATGTCGAACACGTAGGCACAGCCCGAGCAAGCGTCCAAAGTTGATCATTTTTATGGTGTGGCTTGCTTCAACTTTGTTTGAAAGCATTTCTCTGTCTGTCTCCATAGAATATGAACGCCAAAAATTCTAAGTTTGAAGCTTTGCCACGATATGCGTATTTGATTTGACACACACAGTGACACTCCCTCCATTATAAAATATAATAATTCATAACCCGTCCAGTGAGTCAGTGTAATATCCTCCTAAAAGCAAAGGCAAACGCAAATCTGAATTTATTATTTGGAAAATAGCAGAATTTATTTGAAGAGATAACAGAAGAAAAGAAGGAGAGGAGGGGAAGAGAGAGTACCAAAAACACCAACTTCCTTTGCTCTTTTTGATAGCTTCTTCCTGCTTGTTCATGTAGCCCAAATACGAAAAAGCAATGGGCTCAGCACTCCAGATTCATGACCCAACAAATGATCAGCCCATAAGTCATATTATATGAAGCGAGCTGGGCTTCATTTCTACTTCATTTTTTGTTTTTTGTTTTAAATCAAATCAAATCAAATCAAACAAAACTAAAAATGAAATAAAAAGAAAATGAGATAATGAATGGATAGCATGTCGAACACGTAGGCACAGCCCGAGCAAGCGTCCAAAGTTGATCATTTTTATGGTGTGGCTTGCTTCAACTTTGTTTGAAAGCATTTCTCTGTCTGTCTCCATAGAATATGAACGCCAAAAATTCTAAGTTTGAAGCTTTGCCACGATATGCGTATTTGATTTGACACACACAGTGACACTCCCTCCATTATAAAATATAATAATTCATAACCCGTCCAGTGAGTCAGTGTAATATCCTCCTAAAAGCAAAGGCAAACGCAAATCTGAATTTATTATTTGGAAAATAGCAGAATTTATTTGAAGAGATAACAGAAGAAAAGAAGGAGAGGAGGGGAAGAGAGAGTACCAAAAACACCAACTTCCTTTGCTCTTCTGAGCCATGGCTTCAACCACCAACACCTTGCTCTCTTCTAACTTTTTTGGCACTAGAATCCTACACTCTCCTCCAACCCCAAAAACCACCTCCAGATGCCCATCAGCACCAATTCCTCTGGCCTTCTTCTCCAAGAGAAACCTTTTTACCACCAAAAACATTTTCAACCACAAACCCAATTCCGAGCCCTTCAAATCCGCAGCATCCCAAGCCACTTTAGCTGCCTTACTCTTCTCTTCAGTCACTTCACTCACCCCACAAGCCCTAGCTTTAGACGCCACACCCACCCCCACACCCCCACCTGTTCTCCAAGCCCAGCCTACCAAACCCAACGCCTCCTCTCCTTTCTCTCAGAATCTCCTCGTTACGGCCCCCAAACCCCAATCCCAGGCCGCCACTGACCTCCCTGAAGGCAGCCAATGGCGCTACAGCGAGTTCTTGAACGCAGTAAAGAAGGGCAAGGTCGAAAGAGTCAGGTTCAGCAAAGACGGTTCTGGCCTCCAGCTCACTGCCGTGGATGGCCGACGAGCCTCCGTCATTGTTCCCAATGACCCGGACCTTATCGACATTTTGGCCATGAACGGCGTCGATATTTCAGTGTCCGAGGGCGATTCGGGCAATGGATTGTTTAATTTCATCGGGAACTTGTTGTTCCCAATCTTGGCCTTCGCGGGATTGTTCCTCCTTTTCCGGCGAGCGGGAGGTGGTCCCGGAGGGCCTGGTGGGCTTGGTGGGCCTATGGACTTCGGAAGGTCCAAATCCAAATTCCAAGAAGTTCCAGAGACAGGGGTGAGTTTCTCTGATGTAGCTGGAGCTGACCAAGCAAAGCTGGAACTGCAGGAGGTGGTTGATTTCTTGAAGAACCCAGATAAGTACACTGCCCTTGGAGCCAAAATCCCAAAAGGCTGTCTTTTGGTGGGTCCACCTGGTACCGGCAAGACCCTTCTGGCTCGGGCCGTGGCCGGCGAGGCTGGGGTGCCGTTTTTCTCTTGCGCAGCTTCAGAGTTCGTGGAATTGTTTGTGGGAGTGGGTGCGTCGAGAGTGCGGGACTTGTTCGAGAAGGCCAAGTCGAAAGCGCCGTGCATTGTGTTCATTGATGAGATTGATGCGGTGGGGAGGCAGAGAGGAGCAGGTATGGGGGGTGGGAATGATGAGAGGGAGCAGACCATTAATCAGCTGTTGACGGAGATGGATGGCTTTTCGGGTAATTCCGGTGTCATAGTTTTGGCGGCTACCAACCGGCCGGATGTTCTTGATTCGGCCTTGTTGAGGCCCGGTAGGTTTGACCGACAGGTGACCGTGGACAGGCCTGATGTTGCTGGGAGAGTTAAGATCCTGCAGGTTAGTGAGTTTTAAATCTTAATCAATGCCTACACTATCAGTTCAATTGGCTTCATTTCATTTTATCTCATCCTTTCCCACGGACCATAGATAGATAATTTAGTCCTTAACAAAACAGTATGCTCATTGACACACAAGAACATGAGCAGCTGATGTATGTATGTATGTTCTCAAGTCAGTTTAATCACTAATTCACTGTATCTTGTGAAGCATAAAATCTATACATACATATGTATGCATTTGTATAGTATCTATTCTTATTTTTCACACAAGGTATCTCTATAAATCGAATTGTTTCGTTTGTTTTAATTAAGCATATCTAGATATTTGTTTCCTGTTTTAGTGAGGTTGAAAGTTGTTTCAGTAGAATTATATTTTCCAGTTCAACAAACTAGAGTGCAATGTTTCAAGTCTCTGAGAATCCAAACCTTCCTATCTGTACCCATATTCCCGACTAAAGCACTTCTTATTTTTTTATTTTTATGGCAGGTGCACTCTAGAGGCAAGGCACTTGCAAAGGACGTGGACTTTGAGAAGATTGCAAGGAGAACACCTGGTTTCACGGGGGCTGATCTGCAAAACCTGATGAATGAAGCTGCCATTCTTGCAGCCAGACGCGACCTCAAAGAAATAAGTAAAGATGAGATCTCTGATGCTCTGGAGCGAATAATTGCTGGACCTGAGAAGAAAAATGCTGTGGTCTCAGAAGACAAGAAGAAATTAGTCGCCTACCATGGTATATAGAACAAGACCAGTTCTCCCCATCCCATAGAACTTGTTATTTTGCAGTTTTTTTTTTTTTTGTTGTGATTGTTTATTCATCTATCACTATTCTTTGCAGAGGCCGGGCATGCTCTTGTTGGTGCTTTAATGCCAGAATATGATCCTGTAGCTAAGATATCCATCATCCCTCGTGGCCAAGCCGGTGGTCTAACCTTCTTTGCTCCAAGTGAAGAGAGACTCGAGTCCGGACTGTACAGTAGAAGCTACCTGGAGAATCAAATGGCTGTTGCCCTTGGTGGAAGGTTAGTTCTACAAACTCTTCAGTTTTAATGTCCTAAAAGAGCATTTCAATTTCAAAAGGCTGTGTTTAAAATCCTAGTGCATATGAGAAATTGTGTCCTCACGCTATTGGCATTGCAGGGTTGCCGAAGAAGTTATCTTTGGTCAGGAAAATGTGACAACAGGGGCATCAAGTGACTTTATGCAAGTTTCAAGGGTGGCAAGGCAGATGGTTGAGAGATTTGGGTTCAGCAAAAAGATCGGACAAGTTGCAATCGGTGCTGGTGGTGGCAATCCCTTCTTAGGTCAACAGGTAGAGCAGTGGCTAGACTTTAATGGATTATTCTTGTTTGATGTGTATTTTACTTATGCCCATGGGATACAAGATAACTGATGGAAAAGAGGAGCTAGCTAACTAACTGCCCATGGCTTGTATATGTGTTTCAATTGCAGATGTCGTCCCAAAAAGATTACTCCATGGCAACTGCTGATATTGTGGATGCAGAGGTAAGGGAGTTGGTAGAGAAAGCTTATTCAAGGGCCACGCAGATCATCACAACCCACCTCGATATCCTCCACAAACTAGCCCAGCTTCTCATAGAGAAGGAAACTGTTGATGGTGAAGAGTTCATGAGCCTCTTCATTGATGGGAAAGCTGAGCTATATGTTGCATAGTTGGGACACTCGGGCAAATTCATGTATTATCAGTCAGCGTAAAAATGTTGTATTATAAAGTTCATATACACAAGTACACATTACGAACCAATTAATTTTTTAATGAAATTAGGAAGCAAAATAATGGCACAATAGTTGGACTGATACAAATTTCCCCTACCCCATCATACATGATCTGCATGTT